CGTCTAGTACCTCCTACGCCTCAGTACCTCGTTTTCCCAAACTTAAATGAAGTGAGGAGTTGTCCTCACTTCGGCGTGGTAATGGATGGAGCCAGCTGCCAACCCCAGGGGCTGCAAGACTCACCTTGCGGCCGGCCTCATTGTTGTGCAAGTTCATGGCTGCCCGGGCATCCTGTCCGGTCTCCAGGGCATCAACGAACTGCTTGGATATTGCCTCTCCGAAGCCCACGTTGTCACTGCAGCCTCCCCACAGCCAGCCTTGGCCCCCTGGGGAAGAGCAGGGGCGAGGGCAGGTCGTTGAGCAGCTGTTTCTAATTGGGAATCTGAGATTAAGGTTGGGTGAGTGCCTTGTCTCCAGATTAGTTTCAGCCTAGACTTGTTTTTGCCACTTTTGACCGCCCACGTGTAGCCTATCATCTGCTCAGGACTCCATGACGTAAGTAGTTGCCGAGTGGATTCTCTGCAAGGTGCCTACGTGCCCTGCCCAAGGTGCCTGGCCTTTGGGCAGAGTGTGCATGTGCCCGCCAGCGACTGACTTCCAGGAAGGACAAAATGGCTGGAACGAAGGTGAGGAACGCGCGAGCACTGAGAGAGAGAGAGAGAGGAGCAACTGAAATAATATAGAACAACTAAGTTGGAAGTTGAGCCGCAGGGCAGGGAGGATTGGGACAGGAGGAAGAGTGGAAAGGAGACAGAGACAGACAATATGGAAGGATGTCCCCACTGTGTTGAGAGAGTGACCGATTGACTCCGTGGGGAATGTTCTTCCTTTATCATTATTGTGTTAAATTAAGGAAACTACTCAGTAGGTGAGGGAGAGCCCGTGCAGCATTTAACCTGGTTTGACACGTTAGGGTTTGGGCTTAAACTGGTTCACCCTGATTTTCCTCAGATTTAGAAGAATACAATTCCTCTGCACCCCACCCAGCTATCCATCAAGCTTTTCATTCTTTAAGTGAACTCTACCGGCCTGCCCTACCCACCCCCAATGTCACTACTCACCCAGCTGCCCGTTGCGGGAGTCATCACAGCCACAGTTGTCAAAATCCCCAAGGCTACAGTTCCGAGTCAGAGTGTACATGACGCCGGCAGAACTGATGGCGTGTACGAAGGCTGTCTCCCGGTTAGCTGGCAGGAACCAGAAATTGGGTGAGTTGGAGGGAGGAGTCGCAACCCAAAGAAACACCAGCCTGCCACCTCCCTTTAATACAGTCATTGTCCTCCGATCCTAGCTCTACCCTATTTCCCCACCTTTATAATGTTCCTTACTCTCCAGGGTCCACTCCAGCCCTGGTCTCAGCCCCTCCTTTCTCCCCTCCCATCTTTTCCAGTCATACCCTTTGTGATTAGGTGGCTAGATAAAGGATTTCGGTGGGAAAGAGCCTGAGGAAGAGAGGAATATGAAGGCCAGGCTATCAGGCACCCATCCACTTCCTCCTGGAACACTGAAGTCTAAGAGGCATGTGCCACCAGTTCTCAAAGAACCTCTGACTGCCAGCCCTTATTTACGGCATGGCCACTCTCTCTTCTCCAGGGAAATCTGGTCTTCAGGTCTGTCCCCACTTGCCTTGTACCTGGCTGCTGAGCCTGCTGAAGGAAGGGGCTGAGAGGAATGAGGGATTATGACCCTACCTTCCTCCTGATGTTATTTATATAGTGGGGAAGCCATTAGCCAATTGATGAGGTCCATTTGTTGAACAGTGAGGGTTTGGGGGAAGAAAGAGAAAAGCTCTTAGGTAGGAAAAAGGAGCTAGAGATGGAACAGAGAAGATCCCAGAGAGGGAGATCACCTGAGAGTAAAGACCAGGTGAGGAGTTAGGGTACAGAGGAGGCAGGGCCATCCCTGGGGAGTGGGGCTCTAACCTGTGGCCAGGGGGTCCAGGGAGCTGTGGCCGAGGCTTTCCTTACCACTGCGCAGGCCGCCATGGCTGGACAGCTGCAGGGCTCTCTCAGGGCAGTTCCAGCGGTCCCAGGCGAACTGGTATTTGCATTCTTCAATCCCGCTCTGGGCACCAGCGGCCACACTGCTGGAGTAGATCAGGTAAGCCTTCGGGGACACAGGGGTCAAAATGCAGACTTACAAAAGCTGGACTTGGAGACACTTGCCCTCAAGTGGCCAAGCCCCTCTCTTCCTGCCCACTTTCCCATCCCTCCAAAATAATGACAGAGTGAGCACGTTAAATGTGTTGTCTCATTTCACATCACAAATGACCTTGTCAAATGGGAACCGTTTTATTGATTAGGAATCTGAGGCCCAGAGAGGTGAAGTGAAGCAATTTGCCCAAGATCCCACAGCTGGCAAATTACAGAAGTAGGAAGAAAACTCAGTTCATCAGACACTAGACCTGCCTTTACTCACTATACTATTCTGCCTCTCCAACGTGACTCCCAAATTACGTAATTCATGAATTTTCGCTGTTCTCACCCCATTACCATATTAGAAAATAATATTTTGGAACTGGAAATGTCCTTAGAGATAATGCAGTACAATAGCAGCTTTGTAAAGACTCATCCCTCCCCTGCCTGAGAAGGTGGTGTGACTGCAGCCTGATGCGGTGAAAGGCTGTCGACTTGTCTAGCTTTAGAAATTCTGCTGTGAATTTAGAATCAATAATCGTGAGTTCTTGCTGTGGCTCTGACACTAGTCTGCTGTGTGGTGTGGGTGGGTCACTAATCCCCTCTGTGCCACAGTTTTTGTCTGTAATAGGTACAGCACAATAAAGAGTGTGGATATAATGAAA